GAGAGAGAGAGAGAGAGAGAGAGAGAGAGAGAGAGAGAGAGAGAGAGAGAGAGAGAGAGATGAGCGATCCAAGATTGGTTGTCACTTACCTGTAAAGCGAGACTGCGGAGTCCGGTGGAGAAGGAAGACAGCGGCCATACCCGCGGAGCATTGACACAGAGTACCGGAGGAGAGAGAAAGGGGAGGACAGAGAAGGAGGGACTGAGGATAGAGAAGAAGAAGTGTGGAAGGAGGAGATTGAAGAAGAAGACAGACATAGCCGGGGGTGAACAAAAAAAAGAAATAGAGAAGAAGAAAGAAGGTGAGAGAAGGGAGAGTAGACGGCGAGGGTGACGAAGGTGAAGGTGCCGGCAGCCATAGCCGAGGTGAGGAGTTGACCGAGCGTTGACCAGAGGGTTGACCAGGCGTTGACCGAGGGTGTTGACCAAACGTTGATTGGGGGTTGCTCTTGTTGACTCGGCGTTGACCAAGGCGTTGACCGGAGTTGCTGCTGACCAAGATTTTGACCAAGCTGGAGTTGGTGATACCTCGTTGACCCCTCAGCCTATTCCCTTACCCTGTGGATGTGCACACCCCTACAGTACTTGCTGAGTTGAGTCTGTCTGTCTTCCTTTCTGCATTGAGTCTCTTTTGTCCTAGGTGTTAGGACTCTGTGGATGAAGGATAGGACCTTGCTGCCAAACCTGCACGGGACTTAGTAGGACCAAAGCTCTACTCTGGCACTTGGAGACCTGGGCATGAGCGGCGAGCGCTCGTTAAACAACTCGGCTAGCCCAATGACCGGTACTGTCCGGCGGGTCTACTGAGTTCAGTGTAGAGGGTCTGAACTCCGAGCTGTGGGCTGAAACGAGGGCCGTCTTTAAGTATTGAGGCCTGGTTGAGCCACTCCCCTACCGGACCTAGTAAGGTTGATGATCTGTGTCTGACGACTCGACTGTCCCGAGGGATACGAACCCCTCCAAGGACTGGTACAGACCGGCGGGCTGCTCGGTGTGGCACACTAGGCCGGAACGGCTGAGTTGTGGGCTGAAATCGCCAGGAAGGACCAAGTTGATCACGTCGTCCTGTCTGCGACGTTAAAGAATTCTTGAGGAGTTACGGGGGATCTCCTTAAATGCCTCCAGATCAGCTGCTGGTTCTGTAGTGACAGCCTTAGAGTAGTCTTGGGTTAGTGACCATAGTTGATAGGGTCTTACCCTGTGGTCCTTAGAGAGTCAGTTAGTAGGTCAGTGTGTCCGGGTAGGTCTACGTGGTAAGGAGTGGGACCCTTGTCGTGCACCAACACCACGATGGATGACTATCCGATGTATGGGCTACTTGTTGGGTTCTCCCTCTGGGGGACCCTCTGGCGTCTCCTCTTTCCGCTGGGCTTCTGGCCCACCTTTGCGTGTAGAGTAGGGCCCACTCGTGGTGGTACTTCCACCCAGCCATACACGAAGGAGGAGGAGGAGAAGATGACCGCCATCCTGCAGGAGAGAAAGGAGAAGAAGGAGGCCAAGAAGAAGGCCTTGAAAGAGGAACAGGCGGCCAAATTGAAGAAGATGGAAGAAGAGATGGCCAGGGAGAAAGAGAGGCTGAAAAAGGAAGAAGAAGAGAAGCTGAAGGAGGTGGATGAAGAAGAGGAAGGTCCGCCACTGCAAAAGAGTAGTGGGCAGCACAGTGGCAGCAATGGTGGGGACCTGGAGAAAAGGATATCCGAATGGGTTGCCAACCTGTCTGTGGGAGAAGAAGAAGAAGTGGCAATGTACGTACCCCAGGATGATCAGGAAGCCGCTATGAAAGCTTGGGAAGCAAAAAAAGATGTCGTGAAGCGGCAGGCGATGGAAGATGAAAAGAGGATGGAATGGAGATTGGCAGTGATGAGGGAGAAGAAAAGGAGAGTGGGCGCGGCGGCGGAGGCGGCAGAAGAATTAAAGGAAGTAAAAAGGATAGAGGAGCAACTAGCCGCCCAGATTGAACTCCCGGCCCAAATGCGAGTCATAGCTCGAAATGTTGCACGCCTGGCACGAATTCAGGCGGAGCAATATGACTTCAGTAGGAGTCAGCATATAGCTGTGCGYTCAATAAAGTTGGGGTTTCGRGAATTTGCGCGCGAGCTGGTAGGCGCTGTAGGAACCGAKGTGGGCCACCGCCTCGACAAKACCRAGCGGTWCTGTGCTGGCGCCATTGAGGGCGTCAAGGCGGCAGCCCCCAAGGAGGAGGAAGCACGTCCTCCTCGTCGGGAACCAGTCAAGGTCAAATTCCCTGATTCCTATAGTGGAAAAAGGGAAGAGAACTTTGACAACTGGGAAGCTAACGTTAAGACCTATGTGCACTTGCAACAGGTCTCCCCGGATCAGCAGGTTCTGATTGCGATCCACGCGCTGAGAGATGAGGCCGCCAGTTTTGCAAGGTCCCTAGTTCRCGCTGCCAACTGTAGTGATGATCCGGTTGCGTACTCCTCATTCACGTCCCTTACCGAATTCCTGAAATTGCTGCGCGAGCGATTTGCAGACGTCTCTCGCAGTGTTAAGGCCTCAGACAAGCTCCAAACTATCCATTCTCGTAAATGGAAGAGTGCCAGGGCACTCAAGGGTACAATGGATGAGTTGGTGGCCGTCCCTGACCACGGGGTCACAGAGGGCCAATTGGTCAACCTCTTTTACCGGGCTATGCCCGAAGCCTTTCGAGGGCAGTTCTTCGCGAAGAGCGAAGATCCTGCCACCACTTACGATTCCCTTAGCCGTGAAGTGGTGGCTTTTGAAGCGAAGTCCGTGTCCCTGTCTACCTTCTGGCACAAGGACTTGGACAGGGGAAAGCAATGGAAAGGTCGCACTATCTCAGGGCAGGTAAAGACTAAGGACAACCTTGTCCTGACTTTAGATGAAGGTAGTGTGGATGAGATCCCCTACGATCAGATTGAGTGGGGGCTAGAGGAGGAGGACAGCGGTGTGGGCCAGGGGAGATCCTACGCTGCTGTCGCGGCTGGAGGGAGGCTGCAAGGAGGAAGAGGCCAGGGCCAAGGGGGCCGAGCCTCAGGGAACCGGTTCCAGGGCGATCAGGGGGTTGGCGGCAGAGGAGGAAACCGCCAAGCGGGAGGCAGGGGTCAAGGTCCCTCGCAAAACCGTCCTAGGAATAGGTCTCCCTATAGAGTAGGAGGATGGGACCCAGGGCTACCTCAGGGTAGGCCTTGGGAATCTTTGGGTCTGGACCAGGCTTTATGGCAACAACGATTGGACCGGGGCCAGTGCATTTTCTGCGGTGACCGGGGCCATATCATCAAATATTGTCCCAAGTATAGAGAGACCCGAACGGCTGCCCAAGGGCCAAAAGGCAGCCGCCGGTAGGGGTAGCAACTGCCCCTACCACTAGGCCATGTGGGGAAAATAGTGCTAGCCGGCAGGAGACTCCCACACCACATGTGCCTATGGCAGAGGTTGCAGGCCGGTGTCTAGATGGTTGTCCAGAGACTGCTTGTGTTAGAGTCTCTCTAGACACCTCCCTCACAAGCGTGGCCGAAGAGTTTAAGGAGAGGATGCCCGCCTGGGCCAAGATGAAGAAGGAGAATAAAAGGCAGCTTATATTGCTAGATACAGAGATTTTTAGAAGTAGAGTAGGGGCCCTAGTAGACTCAGGGGCCACTCGCAGCTATATTAGTAGGAAAGAGCTGCAGAAGTTGAGGCTGGGACTTAAAGTCCAGAACCTGACAGACCCCATAATTAGTATCCTCGCGGACAATCGCACTATGGTTGTAGAGGATTACGTAGAGGGAGTCCAGGCGTATTTCCGCCTAGAGACAGATGGGAAAGTGGAAAAGATTCTCCACTCCCTGACTCTCCTCGTAGAAGACAGCCTCCCCTTTGATATAGTGTTGGGAATGGATTGGGGAGAGGCAGCCGGGGCAACGCTCCATCTGAAGGAGCATGAGTGTAGGCTCCCTAGTTCTGCAGGCGAGGCTAAGACTGCCCACCTGTTCCATGTGTCAGGAGTAGAGAATTCCTTGGCGCATTGCTGCCTTAGTGCCCCCGCATTCGCCAGATTGGTGAAGAAGGAGAAACTGGAGGAACAGGTCTTTGTTGCCTATGTTAGGCCAGTCACCGAGCCTACGGAGGAGAAGCCGATGGACCTTGCGATTGCCAGGCTGCTGGAAGAGTTTAAGGATTTGACTGAGCCACCGACAGGCACGGTGTCGCGGCCTATTCAGCACCGTATCGAAATAGAGCCTGGCCGTAGAACTCCTAAGGGCGCTGTGTATAGGATGTCCCCACGGGAGTTAGAGGAGCTTCGCAAGCAGTTAGACGAGCTCCTCGAGAAGGGTTGGATTAGGCCCAGTTCGTCTCCCTTCGGAGCGCCTGTTCTCTTTGTTCCTAAGAAAGAGGGAGAGCTAAGAATGTGCATAGACTACAGGGGTCTGAATGCTATTACAGTGAAAAATGTTGAGCCACTGCCGAGGATAGACGATCTCTTAGATCGAGTGCAGGGGGCCAAGTATTTCTCTAAGATAGATTTAAAGTCTGGATATCATCAGATAGAGGTACACCTTGATGATCAGTATAAGACAGCCTTCCGGACTAGGTACGGGCATTACGAGTTTATAGTGATGCCCTTTGGACTAACCAATGCGCCAGCTACATTCCAGCGCTATATGAACGATTTGTTTAGGCCGTGGTTAGACAAATTTGTTGTAGTTTACCTAGATGACATCCTAGTGTTTAGCTGGACCTTGAAGAGCATCAGGGTCATCTCAGGCAGGTCTTGGAGAAGCTGAGGGAAGCTAACTTCAAGATCAATGCAAAGAAGTGCGATTGGGCGAAGACCCAAGTTTTGTATTTAGGCCACGTCTTAGACGGAGACGGCGTTAAGCCAGAGGATAGCAAGATCGCAGCGATTAGAGATTGGCCCACACCACGTACGCTGACAGAGTTGCGCTCGTTCCTGGGCCTAGCTAATTACTATAGGAAGTTCGTGAGGAACTTCTCCACCATCGCTGCGCCCCTTTGCAGATTGTTGAGAAAAGAGACAATCTGGAAGTGGGACAAGGACTGCACGTCTGCGATGAAAAAACTAAAGTAGGCGTTGATAGAGTATTCGGTCCTTAAGGTCGCCGATCCGTCCTTGCCTTTTGTCGTTACTACGGATGCTAGCCAGTACGGCATAGGCGCGGTGTTGCAGCAAGACGATGGCAATGGGTATAGACCCGTAGAGTTCATGTCCGCCAGAATGCCTTTAGAGAAGGTTGCGACATCTACCTATGAGAGAGAACTCTACGCTCTCAGGCAAGCCTTAGACCATTGGAAGCACTACTTGCTTGGGAGGCACTTCAAAGTCTATTCTGACCATGAAACGTTACGATGGTTAAAGACGCAGGCCAAGACACACCAAAGCTTACTAGGTGGGCCGCAGAAATAGATCAGTACGACTTCGAGCTCAAGCCTATCAAAGGGAAATACAACGTAGTCGCGGATGCTCTGAGTAGGAGGGCAGATTACTTTGGGGCAATAGTACACTATCTTGATATAGGGAAGGACCTGCAACAGAAGGTTAGAGAGGCCTATGCGCAGGACCCTATCTATAGTGAGCTCCTTAAAAAGGTCAAGGAGGCCCCAGAAACTGAGCCGAACTACCGCAYTACTGAAGGGCTACTCTTTGAGAAGACTAATGTATTTGACCGCCTGTGCATTCCCAATAGCGAAGAGATTCGTAGCCTGATTCTGGGCGAATGCCATGACACAGAGGGTCATTTTGGTTGGCAAAAGACCTTAGCCAATCTAATGCGCACGTATACCTGGCCAGGGATGAAGAATGACTGCGTAGAGTATGTTCGCAGTTGTAAGGTCTGCCAGCGTAACAAGAGTTCTACGCGCGCCCCGTTAGGTCTTCTCAGACACTTGCCCATTCCGGATCAGTTGGGAGACTCAGTGTCCATAGACTTCATGGACACTCAAGTCAAGAGTAGGCATGGCAAGAGCCAAGTCATGGTCATAGTTGACCGTTTTAGTAAATACGCAGTTTTTGTTCCTTTGCCTTCCGAGGCGCGTACTGATTTAGTCATACAGAGGTTTTTTGGCTGTTGGGTTAGTGAGAATGGAATCCCGCTGTCGATAGTTAGCGATAGAGATAGTCGCTTCGCCAGCCAGAACTGGCAAGAACTCATGGGAGTATATGGATCTAAGTTGTTGATGTTGTCCGGCCGTCATCCATAGACTAACGGTCAGACCGAGCAGATGAACAAGATCCTACAGCAAGTTCTGCGCATGTACATTAGACCAGACCAGATTAACTGGGATGAGATGTTGCCCAAAGTAGCTAGTGCGTACAATAACAGCGTGCATCTGTCTACATGTCGCACTCCCAACGAACTGCACAAGCCCTTTAGACCGCGCAGACCGTTTGAGGGACTCAACCGGGATCAGATTCACAGATTACCACCCGGGACCAGGGAGTTTGCTATACAGCACGAGAAAGAACTAGCTACTGTTGTAGAAAACCTCAGGAAAGCCCAGCATAAGATGATAGAGCAAGCGAACAAGCATCGTCGCCCGTCACAGTTTCAGGAAGGCGACTTAGTCTGGGTTAGTTCTAAGGAGTTTGCACCTGAGGAAAACATCTCGCAGAAGTTACTGCCCACCTATAGAGGTCCGTGGCCAGTCCTAGAAGTCAAGGCCGGCGAAGATGGACCGTCCTACACCATAGAGTTGCCAGCTCACCTCCACACGTACCCAGTTTTTCATGCATCGAAGTTGTTACCTTGTCAAACAAGTGACCAGTTTCCATCCCGTAGATCTATGATTCCGCCCGATATGGATGGAAGGTATGACATCGATGGCATAGTTGCTGAAGAGGTATTCAGAACTGGAGGTAGGGTTCGTCCACAGAGACAGTACAAGGTTCATTTTAGTTATCAGGAACCGGAAGACGACCGCTGGTTTACAAGATCTGAACTTCTAGAGACAGCTCCCGATATATTCCGGGCCTACGAGAGACTGCAGAAAGGTAAAGGTCCTGCCGTGGACTGAAATTTTCTCGGAGGACCTCGAATGTAGGCCGGCGGGAGTGAAACGGTATTCACCAATTCGCAGTAGCGAATGCAGGTCCCAGGGCTCGATCCCTAGTTCCCCATCTTACCCGTGTACAGTATTGAGGTCAACCCGTAGATTTGAACCTGCGACCTGTCGAAACGCCAGTGGTAGGTAGATTGTCGTAGGTCACAGCTTAGAAGAGATTCGAACTGTAGACCTGTAGGGTAGGAGTCTAGACAGTTCTAAGGTCGTAGCTGTAGACTGCCTGAAGGGTCAAGGTCGTAGCCGGTACTTACCTGAAAGGGCAAAGTCGTAGCTGCTACAGTACCGAAGGGCCAGCGTAGAGGTTTCTAGAACTGGCCTTTCGGAGCTGGCCTGCGTTCAGCAGAGGCAAGTGGTCAAGTGGTGGTAGTCCACCTAGCCCAGTCAGCAGTCCTAGGTAGCCCAGTCCGGTCCAGTCAAGCAAGTACCGTCTGGGACTGTGCACATCGTGGGCCAAGGGATACAGGGCAGACCAACACAGCGCAGAAGTATAAATCAAGAGGCTGCGTCCAGCCATTCATTCATTCCTGTGGATGCCATGCGGAAGCGCTGCCTCAGCAGCTTGTGCGAGGAGGTCTGCAGTGCGCCCGAAGACGAAGAGGACAGAGAAGGGTAGTGTAGCGATAGGGTAGTGGCAGCCATAGCTGCCATAGCTATAGTAGTGTGCATGTAGAGTGTTGCGTGTGGGACATCCAGGGTGATCCAGAGTGCGAACAGTGAGTTGTGTGGGCGAGTGGTCGCCATAGCCAGTTTGAAGAGAACTCTTACCTGGTTACGATATCTTTGAGTACTGTGTGGGCGCATGTC